CGCTGTGCGGGACCCCCCCCCCCCCCCCTGCATTTCACATGCCCAGCTGGAGCCGGTGTCATAATGTGTTTGGGAGGCCAAGAAGCCCCGAGGTGAGCCCGGCTTGCTCCTTTGCTTCTTGTCCCTACGGGAGCTTTGAGAGACTGGCCCAGCCACTGCAGACGGATGTACCGGCCCCCCCAGGGCGCGCTGATCCGAGGCACTAATCAGCAATATAAGCTGTTATACAGATGCTATGTTCCATGTTGGAGGAGGCTGCATTAATGTGTTTGGGAGGCCAAGAAGCCCCGAGGTGAGCCCGGCTTGCTCCTTTGCTTCTTGTCCCTACGGGAGCTTTGAGAGACTGGCCCAGCCACTGCAGACGGATGTACCGGCCCCCCCAGGGCGCGCTGATCCGAGGCACTAATCAGCAATATAAGCTGTTATACAGATGCTATGTTCCATGTTGGAGGAGGCTGCATTTCAGCAGCACGTGACTCAGTTCCTGGGTATTGTCTTCTAGTCGGGAACAGCTAGTGCTCATGTGAGGAGGAATGCAAGATTCTGCTCTGCACTTGACCATGCCTGAGGCAGAAAACTTCCACTCGGCCTGCTGAATGAAGTAGGCATATTATTGCGAGGGGGTGTGTGGGCTAGTGGCTGGGGCCCTGGGAGTCAGAACTTTGCAGGGGTAGTGACTTCCTTTCTCCCTTGGTTCCCTGCCTGGTGAAAGAGACTTACTCCAGGCTGACTGGCTTACCCAACCAGTTTGAGAGCTCTTCTCTGGCCTGTGATGATGGAGCAAGGTAAGGTACAGGGCCTTCCTCAGTCAATGGCCAAGTGTGGGCTGGGTCTGTAGGTCACATTCCCACCTTCTGAGAGCTAGGGCCTGTTCAAACTGATGCCTGGGTCTCTTCCCCACAGATGCCTGGACAAGTCGCTGGGTGGAGTCAAAGCACAAGTCAGACTATGGGAAGTTCAAACTGACGGCGGGGAAGTTCTATGGGGATGCTGAGAAGGATAAAGGTGAGAAGTTGTGTGTGCGCGTGCGCGTGCTGCATTCTGCTATCCCTCCGGGGATGTACTGAGGAGATCGGGGCATCTTTTCTTAACTATCTTGCCCATTGGCTCCTCTGGCTGGTTCCTACTTGCCTCCAAGTCACCCAGCACTTCTATAAATACCTTAGCATCAAATCAGCCCAGTACATCCTTCTCATCCTACTCTGGCTGTAATGGGTTAGCTTTCTGGGTGCTGCTTGGATCGGGTGCTCTCTGGGACAGGACTGGCTTTCTGCACAGTGGAGCATGGGTCCATGACTGACAGAACCCCATAATGCACCTATGTATGTGGCTGGAGGAGGGATATCTCTTTGCTGCCTTGTGCCCTGTTAGCTTTATGTTAGTGGCATGGGGCTCTGTATGCAGGCACCATGCTGCAGAGTGCTGAGCATGAGCAAAGAGGCCTGTTGCCCAGATGTGCTGACCTGTGAGGCCAGCTGAGCTGTGAGGCCAGCTATGTGAGGAATCCTGCTCCCCTTAGCTGGCAGCTCATGACTCTCTCCCCTCCCCTTGCCAGGCCTCCAGACAAGCCAGGATGCCCGTTTCTACGCCCTGTCCGCTCGCTTTGACCCCTTCAGCAACAAGGACAAGACCCTGGTGGTGCAGTTCACTGTGAAACATGAGCAGAACATTGACTGTGGTGGTGGCTATGTCAAGATCTTTCCCTCAAGCCTGAGCCAGGAGGTCATGCCTGGGGACTCGCCTCATGCCTGAGCCAGGAGGACATGCATGGGGACTCGGAGTACAACATCATGTTTGGTGAGTGGCTCTGCGTGGGACAGCTCCATAGCCTTTGCTGGCTGTGGATTACCCACATGGGCCTGGACTGAGGTTAGGGTCTCATGCAAAGCAGGGTGGGGCTTGCAGTGTGTGGATGGGAGCTCTCTCAAACCTTGGGAGTGGCTGGGGGTGCTTAGTGGCCCAGCATTGTGCTAGGGAGCTGCTCAACATCATGTTTGGTGAGTGGCTCTGCGTGGGACAGCTCCATAGCCTTTGCTGGCTGTGGATTACCCACATGGGCCTGGACTGAGGTTAGGGTCTCATGCAAAGCAGGGTGGGGCTTGCAGTGTGTGGATGGGAGCTCTCTCAAACCTTGGGAGTGGCTGGGGGTGCTTAGTGGCCCAGCATTGTGCTAGGGAGCTGCTGGATAACCCATGTCATATGGGGCCAGTGGTGTGGCTGGATGGCTTCAGCTGCCAAGGGGGTTCTTTGCTTCATGCCCTAAGAGGTCATGCATTGTTGCTCTGCTCCACCCCAGTGGTAGATGAAGGAACTTGAGACTTGCACCTGAAATACAAACTCTGTCCCGTAACTCCCTGGGATGGTTTCTCCTGAGAATCCTAGAGACCAGCCTGTCCTAGATGGCTCTGTTCCCCCAAACATTGCCCCTGTCTTTTCTGCTGAGTGGCCTGCCAGGTTGGGGGGAGGGGAGAGTCTAGTCTGAGCCCCATTCAACCACTACTCTCCCCGCTGAACCCGTCACCAGCCCCCGTCCACCCCCTCCTCTCCCTGCTGACCCTGTCACCAGCTCCACACTGGGCCCTCTATTTGTGAGCTAGCACCTGGTCCTGCTGGGGCTGCATTTGCCAGCTCTCTGCACTGGAACAAAGTGATTTGTCATTTCAGGCCCTCCTGAGCCAGGCTGGTTTGCTCTGCTAAACTGTGGCTTGTTTCCGATCCAGGCCCTGACATCTGTGGTCCAGGGACCAAAAAAGTGCATGTGATCTTCAACTACAAAGGGAAGAACGTTCTGATCAACAAAGACATCCGCTGCAAAGTGAGTATCCTGGCATAGGGCTCCTGCCCTGCCACGGGGGCCTGGAGTGAGATCTCCTTGGCCTGGAGCGGAGAGCCTTCCTCCAGCCAGGTCCTCTGATCCCCGGCTCCTTCCCTTGCCCAGGACGATGAGTTCTCCCACCTCTACACCCTCATTGTGCGGCCTGACAACACCTATGAGGTGAAAATCGACAACGGCAAGGTGGAGTCAGGCAGCCTGGAGGAAGACTGGGACTTCCTGCCTCCCAAGAAGATCAAGGATCCTGAGGCCAAGAAGCCGGAGGACTGGGATGAGAGGGCCAAGATAGATGACCCTGAGGACACTAAGCCTGAGGTGAGCTGGGGGGCTGCAGATATAGGGCTAGACACAGGCTGGCATTGTGGTGCTCCATGTGGCCAGCTGGTGGGGACAGATTGTAGGGGAGAGAGGAGGGCTTTGTGCCCCCCAGAGGGAGGAGTTGACAGCAGATCTCTTCCTCTGCCCCCTCAGGATTGGGATAAGCCCGAGCACATTCCCGACCCTGACGCCAAGAAGCCGGAGGACTGGGATGAGGAGATGGATGGGGAGTGGGAGCCTCCAGTGATCCAGAACCCAGAGTACAAGGTGAGGCTGGGATCCCTCACTGTAAACTTGCACAAATGCTGTGGCTTCCTGAGTGGAGGAGCCATGGGCTGTGCAGCTCTGCTGCAGTCTGTGCTGTGCATCCATTAGCCGTGGATGAGGTCTGAGGTTTGACTCTCGCCCCTTACTGCATTGGATTGACATGAGCCTCATCAACGCATCCTGCCCTTGCAGTCCTAACCCCCCCAACGCCTCTGTGCAGTGCCAGTGAGCAGTCCTTTCCTGGTGCCACCTCCTCCCTCTGCAGGGGGGGAGGAGATGGAGTCTTTAATGCCCCTTCCATCTATTGCAGCAACACTCTCCCAGTCTGACCAGCTGCTGGCAGAGCTGGTAAGGGAGGCTGTGAAGCGCTCCAAAGAGCAACCTGGGAATGTACCTTGGTTCTCACTTGGCATGTGGCAATTTAGGGTCAGATTGACAATTTGAGGCAATTTAGGCAGAGGGGTTGTTGGATCATTTAGTCTGATGGCCTAACACAGGCTACAGAACTGCCCTGCAGTAGTTCCTAGAGCTGAGCTCCTGAGAGCTTCAGGCATGAGTTAAAGCCTGCCAGTGACTGAGAATCCACCATGCTCTTTGGTTCAGGGCTCCGGCCCTGCCTGGGGAGAATCCAGGGTGCTAGACTGGGCATCCTCTGGGGCAGGCTCAGTTGATGTCCAGATGGCTCTGAAACCAGCAGTAAGTGAGGCCTTGAGCTCCTGCTCGCCTGAAACTCTGGGCCCATGAGCCTCAGTGTAGGGCATTGCATAAAGGAGACAGCTTGTCCCACTCTTGGCGCTGTAAAACTTGCAGGCAGAGCTGCTTGTCCCAGTCTCTGGCCTCTCCCCAGATCTCCCTTGTTGGAGATGAGGTGAAATTCCTTTCCCGGCTCACTTGATTTCTCACATGCTTTGGCTTCCCAGGGGGAGTGGAAACCCCGCCAGATCGACAACCCTGATTACAAGGGAAAATGGGTGCACCCTGAGATCGACAATCCAGACTACACCCCTGACCCCAGCCTGTACTCCTACGACAACTTTGGTGTCATCGGCTTGGACCTATGGCAGGTACGCTCCTCCCCAGAGGGCTGGCCGGAGTGAGAATTGGAAAGCCCTAGCAGTGGCATCGGCCTGATGCCACCTGGCACTGGGGGTTGTGGGGAAATTCCCCTAACTCGGCTCTGCTTCTGGCTGAGTCCCTGGAGCACCAGCTGCAGTAAAGCACTGGAGTATCCAGTCTGATGGGACCTGGGCCTTGTACTTGGCTGTGCTGCGGGCAGACAGCTTAGCCTGCCCTCAGACTGCTGGCTTCTTGCATCAGAATGCTTCCCTCACCAGAAAACAGCTCTGTACGGATACAAAGTTGGTATCTGCATCCGCACCTGCAGCACTTGGTGGATTTGCAGGGCTCTACGAAACACATGCTTGTACTTTGCCCAATCCTTGAGAATTCAGCCTCTACTGTGGTTGAGAAGCATGAAGCTCTTTTCTGGCAGGACTTTTACTCCACCCTTTCTTGCTGAATGACACCCTCCCCACCCCATACTTGGAGCAAGCTGGGTGAGGTTGCGCTGAGGCTCTGTGCAGCCAGGAGCAGCCAGTCACTAGTTCTCTGCTTTTCAGGTGAAATCTGGCACCATCTTCGACAACTTCCTGATCACAGATGACGAGAAGTTCGCTGAGGAGTTTGGCAATGAGACCTGGGGGGCCACCAAGGTACTGGCTAACCTGGGGGAAGGCGCTTCTGTTCCCTGCCAGAAGGGATTCCCCTTGCCAGCACCTGTCTCCTCCCTCTGGGCCAACATTGGGGAAGCACTGCTCTGAGCCAGAGCCTGCCCATGGTCCCCTCCTCCCACCAGTTGGGCGGGCTGGCAGGCAGTGCAGTGACAGTCACCCCCTGGGGCTGTCCTCTGTTCCCAGTGAAGCACCTCTTAAGCAGGACTAGCTGAGTCCAGTGGTTTACTGTTGACTCTTCAGTGTTAACTCGGTGGTGGGCAGCTGTAATAAGCCACCTCTGAAATCTGGTATTGGGGGGCAGGGAGAGGAGGCCAAGTAGCTTCCATAAATGTCCTGAAACACAAATCCTGTAATGGCTGCATACCCTCTCTGAATAGACAGGGTGTCAGGAGGGGGGCTACAGCTGGAGCAGGATTCCTGACCTGTGAGGTGAATGTCTGAGCCAAGCCATGAAGGTGTAACGTGGTCTGCAATTGCGGAGAGGTTGGAGTCCAGTCTCCTAGCTCGCTGAGTTCTTGCAGTGTCTCCTTATTACTTGGCCCAAACTAGTCTGAGGACAGCACCATTCTCCTTGTGCAGATGGGAGAAACAGAGGCCCAGAGGCAAAGTGACTTGGTGAAGGCTACCCAGGGGATCTGGCAAAGCAGGGAGTCCCAGACTAGTGCCTAAACCACTTGCCCTATGCTTCCTCTTCCTTTTGCCTAACTTATGTTGCCATCCATCTCACCAGGACGCTGAAAAGAAAATGAAGGAGCAGCAGGACGAAGAGCAGCGGAAGAAACAAGAGGAGGAAGATAAGAAGCGGAAAGAGGAGGAAGGGGACGAGGAGCCCGAAGGGGAAGATAATGAAGATGAGGATGATGATGATGACGACGAACCCGAGCCTGAGAAGGAGGAAGAGGAGGAAACGGAGGGACCAGTGAAGGATGAGCTGTAGAAGGCGGTTCCCACAGCACCACTCCTCTGCTGAGCCTCACCCTGGACCGTGTGGCTTGCTTGGTTAAACCCAAATAAGGAGGGGGGAGGGGATACAGTAATGTCTCTGTGAGACTTGAACTTTTTTATTGGTGTTTCTGTTTGTGTTTTTTTTTTTCACATGCCCCCAATGCCATCAACAATCCATTCATGTCAGTACAGCTCTAGGCCCTGCAGGGCATGAATGTATGGTAAAGTTAACAGTAGAAACTTAACCCTTGGTTCAGGCAAGAATGGCAGCATGGAATACTTCTACTGGTGGCGAGCTTCTCTACTGGCTGGCTTCAGGTGCTCTGCAAAGGGGCATATAGGAGGCAGAGTATCTCTCCTTCCCCTTCGCCAGTCCCTTACCTGCCCTGTCCCTCAAAGTTTAGTCTCCCTGAATGGGTGGGGAGGTTGATTGTCTTTTCCTCTGTTCTCAAGCACGGGGGTGGGAGTCTGCAAGACTGCAGTATTATGTCTCTTTTCAGCAGTCTGTTCTAGGGAACTGTAGCTGTGGGGAGAGCTCTTGCTCAAAGTGAGTGGCTCAATCCATTCCCCCTAGCTCACTGCTGCACTTTTTTTATAACTGCAGCATCTGTCCTGGCCTCTCTTGCAGCCACAGCTGGTGCCAAAGCCAGTTCAAATGCAGGTGATAGTAACTCTAAGCAATTTCTCCCCTCCCCTTCTTTTGGGATGCTGAAGCAAACATCTCCTGTAGTTCTTTAATCTTGTATAACAGCCCTGCTACCCTCCACAATCCCCCTAGAAATTGCATAGAGCTATTGGCACAGCGGTGGGGAAATGGCACTGGTAAGAGTGAGGAGAATGTTGTCTGGGTGAGGGAGGTTGCTGGGGGGGAGGGCACTTGCAGTGGGTAAGGGAGTAGAGTACGGAGTCCAAATCTTACTACGAAATAAATATATTGGGTGGGGGAGGGGAATGAAGGGACGAGGTGGGGGCTGGAAGGCTTCTCATGTTCACTTGAATGTATGAATGATTGAAGATTTCTATTAAATTAAATCCTGTGTCTGGCCTGTGACCTGGTTTCCCTGGGCTCTCTGCTGGGCGGGGGCTAGGGGGCAAGCTCAGCTGGAGGGGACCAGCGCTAAGGCCGAGTCCAAGGGCTCCAGCTGGGATCTCCAGCCAGTCACCGAGCGGCGGCGACC